ATTTCAAGTCCTAAACTTACTGAGAAAGAGAGAGCATTATTGAAAACCAAGGTTTTAAGGTAGAAACAAATTTTCTACTTATCAAAAATTTGAAAAATGAAGTAATTTTGGGGACACCTTTTATAAAGGCTTGAGATTTGGAAGAGAATGATATCTTCGCAGGTTCAAAATTAGATTATCTGCTAAAAGCTTCTATTATGGAAGAGAATGATCTTCTCCTATCAAAAGTTATTTCAACATTTCCAGAATTATCTTCTGAGATTTCTTGGATTTGAGGAGCAAGCCTAGGAATAGAATGCGTAGGCTTATCCAAACATCTTTTAGATTTTTTTTCAAATCTTCTTTTTAATTACACTTTGTAAGGATGGCTGCAATTCTAGACCTCTGGTTGAGGAATTGAGAGGTTTCTAGATCAACTACCTTCAAATATTGAGATTAGATCCAAACCATTCGTTGACTCCAAGTATTCCAACAACGAAGGCATCAAAGAAATTCTCACCATTTTACAAATGCATGTCTTTGTAAAATAGGGAGAATTTCTTGGTTCTCCAATTTGCTATATCTATGTTGCTAGGAGAATACCCAGGCTAGACCAAAAACAGAAAAATATTTAAGACTTGCCTGAATTCTTGAATCAGAATTGTACCTTTTCTTAAAATGTTTAAATCCTTCTTTGACTTGCAAGGGAAGAATTGATTTTGTTGGACCAAAATAATCCCATCAATGGAAGAACCAATTGGGAAAAGTATAATTCTTATAATTCTGACTCTTTTGGAAGTAGATTAACTAGGAGTGTTTATTGAATTTATTTTATTGCCAGAAGACTCTGGTCCAGGCTTCCATATAATCCCAGTAATTGTATCCTACCAGATCAAATGGTTGAGAAAAATTTCTAATTGTTCAGGTTTTTCACAAAATCTTTAGGAGACAGTACTTTAATGATTTGTAAAGTAGAATGAGTAACAATATTAGGATCCTTTTGATCCTTGTAATGCTTAATTGATACTGAATCTGAGTTTATTAAGATGAACTCATAAAATTGTCTGATTTTATTTAAAGCTATTGGTTTAAAATGAAATCCAGTGGGGAAAACTTTTGTAATTGCTTTGTAAGGATTTTTATCTCAGAATTTAGGTTCCATTTGGATAACACTCCAAAATTTTCCTTTTGTTTGGTAATGGGAAGTGTTTGATGTGGATTTGGTATTTTGTTTGGATTAAGTGATTACTTTACTGATTTCTCCCAGAAAATTAATATTTTCTAAGACTGGTTTAGGGTTTAAACAAGAGTATTTAGGTTATCTAAATTTATTTTCATCTTTTCTTCAAAGGCAATGTATGCCAAGATATTTTGGGTAATTGATTTAGACTAACTTGTTGGATAGTTAAAAAAGGTGCTGATTGGTAAGGCATAATATGCTATATATACGTCTGGATGTTCTCCCTCAAGTTAATAATCTCTTTGGTAACTATTCTCGTCACAATTCATGCCTTAGTTCACTTTTTAATCATAAAGAAATAAACTAGTTACTGATATGTCTTCCCAAGGTACAATTTATAGTGTTATTGGTAAAGGCATTTGGGGTATACTCGTCTCACAATATCTAGGTGTTCACGACTTTATGTTATGTCACATCTAAACTTATATATGTCTATTCTTCCACTAGTTGCTAATATCACATAATAGATGTAGGGTAGTGGAAGAAAAGGTATATGTAATTCATGGATTTTACACAATTCTCATTAGCTTACATCATCGTACCATATTATCAATTCAAATTAATGGACTTTTCATTTTGTAAAGGGAAAATACATGACATGCATTACCTATTCCCCTCATTATCCGTTCCATACATTAATAATCTATTCTACACGTTAACTCTCAAAATCAAGGAACTAAGACTACTCAAAATATATGTTCTCTAATTCGGTTCTCAACCTTATACTTTTATGAATTTCACATGTAGCAATTTAAACTATTACTCATCAAATCATATATATCATGCAAGGCTAAATACTAGACCATCCTTTACTTTAAATTTGGTCCGGCCTCCTTTCAACAAGTACACGTTTCGTATAAGCATACAATATTAAAACAATCATGCTCAATGTGAAAACAGAGTGCTTTAACTTAGTGTTTGGCACATGCAACATAGGCTACAGTTATCTAGTACCTTGATCTAAAACTCTTTGTTTAATTATTTAGCATGCATCCACCCTAAACGAGCGTTTTGCATCAAATCTGCCCATGCAACTAAAGAGAAACATCCAACAATTTTTATAGTTCTGATTCATGTTCTTCTTCTCTTTCTTTTTTGTCAAATAATCTTCGCCAATCATCTACAGTAAGAAACAAACTTTCGTTTAAATGCAAATATATCAAGTGATGTGGACTCCCCTTACTTTAGTATTGAAGAACCTGTTATAAGGAAAGGAATAAGGATTGTCGATGGTATCACTCTGTTGCATAATGATGGTGAACACTTTAGGAGAGGAGCAAAAGAAATGAGAAGGAATATTGGGAAATTAGAGAGTAGAAGTGCAGAACCAACAAGGTGTTTACCTTGGTAAAGTCTTCATCTCCTTTCCTTGTCAAGAGTGAATAGAAAATGTAAGGAGAATGAAAAGGGAAATAAGGAGATTTAGAGGTGGTTTTCAGGTCCAATTTCAATAAGCTAGAATGGATTAAACCGAGAGTTACTCTCTTTTTTTAAATGGTAGGTTTCTGTTTAAAATGAGAAAAGAGAAGAATATGATTCATGTTTCCTTATCCAGCCTCGGTGATCATTAATTGGGAGGGATCATGGTGCAATTATTTGTGGGTTTGGTGAGACTATTAGATAGCATCTCTCATCCTTTCCAAGGCCACCAAATTTGCATGATTGACAAGAAGAGTTTCTTGCTATAAATGGTGATGTGAAGTTTCAAAATAGAGCTCCATGCAGCTGAAATAAAAGAAGATAATGGCTGGTTATGATGACTGAAAAGATGTTTTCCAATTTACATTTACAAGTTGTCATATAATGAGATAAGGTGGCATTTATTTCAACAATGTTGATCTATGAAGCTGAAGCTTAGTAAGTGGGGGAATGTTCATGTTAATAAAAAGAAATGTCATTGTATCCTTTGCATGCAATTTGAGCTGGAGATTTCATAAGTTCCCTTTTTGCATTGCAGTACACAATTGATAAGGTAGTGAGGAAATGTTCATTTTGAATGCTCAAAGTCTGAAGTTTGGTAGTAGGAGGGGTGTACATGGGGTCTCAGCAGCAATGCCACCATTTCCATTTCATATGTCTTGTAAGTGATCTTGAGTTTGGGAAAAATTAAGGGGGAAAGGAAATAATACAGCAACATATGTTACAAAAGTATATATGCACGTCTGTGGAGAGAGTTTAAACTAAGGTCACGCAAGGAAGGATGCAATGTCATGCTTTAAGTTCGGCAAAATTTGGTTTGACCCTCGTAAGTAAGTTTTGGGTTATTGACAAATATGGAAAGAAAACAATTTAATTTAGAACAAATTTCAATTTCTAATATAATATAAAATAAAAAAATTTAGGGGTGTTACACTTTAGATGGGGAGGACCACACTATTTGAATCAATGTCCTTAAGCTAATAATAGAATTTGTTTTTCATGCCAGCAATCAGGACATCTTATTAAGGATTGCCTTACTTCCTGAAATAGAGTAGCGTCGTCCAAGGCCTAGAGCAGAGGCATGTGTATTTACTACTTCTGAAACAGAGGCTACTTAGGGTATAGATCTTATTCAGGGGACAATAGTAATGGCAGGTACATCTCTTTCCATGTTTTTCAATTCTGGAGTCACACACTCTTTCATTGTGGATATATGTGTGAAAAATCTAGGATTGTCGATGAGTGACTTGAGATGTGATTTGGGGCGGCGGCACCCACTTTGAATTTGGTAACAACCTCAACAATTTGTGTTGGATGTCCCATAGTAGTTAAGGGACAGGAGTATAGGGTTAATCTCATTAGTATCCCTATGTCAAGCTTGGATGTACTCTTAGGCATGGATTGGTTTCCTCCAAATCATGTCTTGATTGATTATGCACAGCGACATTTGATTTTTCTCAAGCAACACAGGTTAACAGGAGTGATTTCTACACGCCAAGTAGAGACATTTGTTCCTTTTGGACACAAATCGCACTATGGGCTTCAATAGATGTACTGGTGGTATCCTTCAATACCAAGACCGAGTTTGTATTCTGAGAGGTGCTAAGTTAAAGAGAAAGATTCTAGAAGAAGGTTATAAGGGTAGTCTAAATCTTCATCCTGGAGTAACAAAGATACATCAGGATCTAAAGTAAATATTTTGGTGGCCCGATATGAGAAGTGAGATAGCTAGATTTGTCAAGGCCTATTTGACTCGCCAAAAAGCAAAGACAGGGCATCATAGTCTGCCTAGAGAGTTACATGCCATGGAGATCCCTAAGTGAAAATGGGACAGTGTGACCATGGATTTTGTATCCCATTTACCGAAGACTATTAGGAATTATGATGTTGTCTAGGTCATAGTTGATAGGTTGACGAAGTGTGCGTACTTCTTGTCAGTTAACATGACTTATACCTTAGAGAAACTTGCTAAGCTATACATCAAAGAAATTGTTAAGTTACATACTACCTTCTATCATTATCTCTAATAGGGACCCTCATTTCACTTCCCAGTTTAGCAAAGCTTGTAAGAAGCTCTGGGTACACATTGAGACTGAGTTCAGCATATCATCTTCAGACTGATGGCCAAACAAAGCAGACTATTTTGACCTTAGAGAACTTGTTGAGGGCTTGTGTTATTGATCAGAGGAGTGATTAGGAGGATATGCTTTCTCTGGTAGAATTTACCTATAATAACAGCTACCATTTGAGTATAGGCATGGCACCTTTTGAGGCCTTGTATGGCACAAGATGACGAACTCCTGTCTGTTGGTTTCAAGATAGAGTTCATTTAATGGTTTGACTAGAGATACTTCAAAGAATCATGAAGCAAGTTGAGATTATCCAAAGAAGATTGAGGGCGACTCAAAGTCGTCAAAAATCATACGTCAATCGATGCCGGGGGCCTTTAGAGTTTGAGACGGGTGACCACGTATTTTTGAGAGTATCACAAACCACGGTAGTTGGACGAGCTTTGAGAGCAAAGAAGTTAATACCTAAGTTCATTGGGTTGTATCAAATACTGCATCGTAAGATACCAATAGCCTATGAGTTAGCTTTACCACCTCAATTGGAAAGGCTACACAATGTCTTTCACATGTCATAGCTGAGGAAGTATGTCTCATATTCATCTCATATAATCGAGCTGGATGTTATACAGATACGAGATGAGTTGTCAGTTGAGCTTCCAGCTGCCCTCATTGAAAACACTAGGGTTAAGGAACTTAGAGGCAAATCTATCCGACTAGTAAAAGTCATTTGGGATTCAATTACTGGTGATACGACGTGGGAGTTGGAGGATCGGATGAGAGAGCAATTCCCTCATCTTTTCTCTAATGAATGAATCTTCAAAGACGAAAATTTATTTTTGGAGGGAGAATTGTCAGGCATGTATTATATGTATACATATTTTCTTTTAAAGATGATGTTGTAATCATTAACTATGACATTTTTGTGTTGTGTATGCTTGAATTATATGGATTTTAATATGCTGGAGTATGAATATGAAAGTTGTATGATTATTGAATAAAGAGTTGTGTATTCGCAGTGCCGTGTGATGATTTTGTTGAATATGATTAGCAGAGCAGGTTATGATCAATCATTAAGCGTATTATGTATGTAATAACCTAAGGATTGTAACCAAGGACATGTATTACCTTATTTAGGAGTTATGGTTGTAGGGTGTCTCACTTAAGCAAGATAGTTGTCACTTAAGCGAGACTAAGTCGTGCTGAATTAGGCATTTTGGAGTGCTTCGCTCAAGCAAGACACGATAAGACCTACCTAATTGTCCTCTCGCCTAAGCAAAAAGGATCTCACTCAGGTGAGAAGCGACCTCGCTCAAGCGAGAGAAGTTGCTCAAGCGAGGAGTCGCAAGAAAAATTGGTAGCTCTCTAGACCCAATCTCGCTCAAACGAGTATGCTGCTCGCCAGGCGAGAAGCAGCTTGCTCAGGTGAGATGTTTGTCGCTCAAGTGAGAATAGCAGAAATTTAGGTAGTTCAACTATCTGATTTTCTCTCCTAGGCGAGGATAAGCTCACCTAAGCGAAAGCAGGGATCGCCCAAATGAGAGCAAGGCTCGCTCAAACGAGAACGCACAGACCTGGAGGGGTATTTAAGGAACCCTAGCATAAAGAAATATTCATTTCTCACCGAACAACCTTCCCCTCTCATTTTCTCTCTGTTCTCTCACCTTCTTCCCTTAAAGAAAATTTTTTCAAGGTCAAACTTCTTCTTGATCTAAATGAGAAACTCCATTTAGTATGAATTTAGGTGAGCTCTTGGGATCTTGTTCTCCAACTCTACTTCTTATTTCTTGGTGTTTGATAGTGGTGTAAAAAAAATAGTATTTATACCTTTTGTACCTTTGAGGGATTATTTAAGATATTGCTTCAAGATAAAATTTAGTTTTGTTCACAAATTAAGTTGTTAGAAGAATGAAAAAATTTAAAAATAGATTTTAATTTATAAGGTAAAGAAACAAAACTTAAAAAGAGATTGTTACTATTCTCTCAAGTAAAAAAAAAAAAATTTAACATTTGAAAACCAGTTTGTATTTTTTTTTGTAAACTTTCCAAATAAATAAAACTTTTATATATATATATATATATATATATATATATATTATTTGAATCATAAAATAATATCTTTTCATTATAATCTTTATAATCACGTTAAACTACAATGATATTGTTTAAAATTATAAACTATCTTTTATAGTTTATCATAGACCTCTAAAATATTTTTCAGCTTATGTTTGATGGTTTTTTTTTTTTTTTTTTACCTTTACACATTCTTTTTCCAGTCCCTTTGTGAAACATTTTTCTTTTGAATTGATTCCTATATTTGAATTTTTTTTTACATACAATACTAGAATAAAATTGTGTTATGTATAAGAATCATAATGAAAAATATATTATGTATAGAAATCAAAGTAAAAAAAAAATTATGTAAATATGAGATAACAGATCTATAATAAAAGTTAATATCAATAACTAATTTGAAAATGTTTTTCATTTAGGGATTTTTTTGTCGTTAGTTGGGGACTTATTTACAAACTTGTTATATATAAGGAACAAATAAAAAAATGGATTTTACTAAAACTAAAATAGTATTTAAACCTAAAAATATGTAATCTTAATTTTTAAAGCTTTAAACTTCAAATGCGGCTGTGCATCCACCGTCTCTTGAACATTTTAGAAGTATTTTGAAAATCGGATCGGACTTTATAGCCACGGTTACTAGTGCAAATGTTTCATTAAATACAAATTAGTGTACGAAAATACCAACTATACAAGTTCATTTTGAGATTAATAATTCTATAAAATGTTATTGTGAGCTGAACAATATGAAAATCTTATGACTTGCCACACCAAATTGAACTGAAATTACTCTCCCAGACAAAAATCCAAATAGAAGTGCATCAAATACATCACAGAATACAGGTATTTAAATATTTCACTTTGTAATTTTACATATCAGCTGGTTTAAAATTTATTTTTCCAAGGGGGCATAGCTCATAGTTGTGGAAGTTATCAATGGTCCAATGGTTCAACTGCTGTCTTGAAAAGAAGGATATAAACCTTATCGATGGAAAAGTACAAAAATCCACCATGAGAATGTGTGACATAGGAACCAAAGCTAGTGCCCACAATGCAGTGCCAAGCTGGACCATAAGTAGAATCAAATTCCTGTAAGAACAGCAAGTTTCTTTAGTTAGCCATACAAGTAGTTCATACAAGGTTACAAAACTTAAAAGCTCTACTATAAACCATTGCTCAAAGAGGGGAAATAAAACAAAAAGAAGACATTGATCAACAATAGGTTTCTAAGTACTATCAACATGAAATCTAGCAATGATTCATCTAGTTCAAATATAATAAATCAGGGAAGAACTATTTTTTTAAGGAACTTTCCGCTGCGACTAATCTATTATATAAGCTTTGAGCAAAAGAAAATAAATAAAAATCCAATTAGATCAATGCATGCTTGCTGCGAGTGTATCAAGGAGCAAGCATCAACAAAGAATCTTGCAAGAATCAAATTTGTCCATAAGATACCTTAATTCATTAAAACATCCCCAATACACATTTTATAAGAGACATACTAGATATTCATGCTGTTGGGGTAATAGGAATCCTAAAAGTATAGCTTTTAATATCATTTACCAACCCTGAAGCCATAATCAATGAAATGAAGGACCAAGAAACATTTTCAACACAAAAAACAACCTATACCAAGCCACCTATTTATTAATTTTCACAACCAACGTACCTAACAAACATACCTTTTAGATTTTATTCGTACTTGAATACATGTAGTGTCACAAGAAAAAGTCATACAACCTTTAGTACAGAGATACCGAACTCATAAGGATAATTACCCAACTTCACCATTTTATTGAAACTTATTAAGCCTATGCTCATTGCTCAACATCAACTATGTGCAACTAGTACATTTGCCATGGTTTTACATACATCTGATCCATACTCTTCCATTTTCTATGATCAGATGTGAATTGAACAAGCAATTTGCAATATATCCCTTCTGATCTGAGTTTTGTTTTCAAGTTGATCTGTATAATATAGAAATAGCAATAGAGCTCATGTCGTATACAAAATCAGTGTATTCTTGATCAAACCAAATGCAAAACCACTTCAACACCTTAATGTAACTATAACTATTTGCTCTTAAATCTACAGTTTCTTTCAAATTACTATCCAAAACGTACAAGCTTGGTCGGTTGGTCTTCTTTAAATCATTTCAGTGACCAAATTCCAGATATACATGTGTATTTTTCCCAAGATGACTGATAGTAACAGTATCTTCGTCATGTCATCCTAAAGCCTTAATTTTAATAGAAGTAAAAGAGAATACACAAGATAAACACCAGATGATCAGTTTTGTGGATTAAACTCTCGTGTTTTCTACTTTCTATTTCTTTATTCACATGCCTGTACAAGCAAATATTTCTTGTCAAAAATATTAACATATAAAATCATCAAATTTTGAAGTTAAAAAATAAAAATATCAAGTGCAAGCATACTCTTGATCTTGGTCCTTCAAATTGATGATGGGAAACTGTTTGGATAATTTTACTCTAGCACACTTGTCTAGTCATGTAACATTATTTATCAATAGATCCCCAATTGAGATTCAGATGCCAAATAGAACAGAAATTTCTACTATTAGTGAACTAAGTGTACCAGAAAATATGTGGGTTGAGATATACCCCCAACCCCAAGTAAGGGATTTTGCAAGCTGTGAATGTGGTCATGGTGACAAGGAAGTTGAGATAGAAGAGCAACTGAAAACTCTATGGAACCACCACAAAACTTTTGAAGCACAAATATGTGTTCAGATACCTCTAGAGGATGATTTAGGGAGTAGTTTGGGTCATGATAAAACAGAAAGCTAGAAAGAATATGCAGACTGTAGGATCAAACTAAAGAGTTCAAGCATAAGTTTGAATCAAGAAGAATCTCTCTAAAGTAGCTCAACAATATTGAAACACAAATGTAAAAATTCTTTTTCAGCATGATACCGCATACAATTGATAAAACTGTCACCAAAATTCTAAGAATCATGAAATAGGAAAACACTTTTCTAACCATTCATAAGAACATGAATAAAAGATTTGCATGTATGAGGAAAAAATGTCTATGCATCAAAGCACAAGCAAACAATTAGTATTAGACCATGTGTGCTTGAAATATACAATTGGCAATGGAGGAGATAAGCACATATTCATGAAGAAAAATCATCATCTGACAAAGTAACAGAAACAAGTTAATACTTGTTTGGTTTACAGTTGAAAACTCAATTCTCCCACTTTCAATGAAGAACAAACATTCCAGTAAAAATTTCCAGCTAAGATTAATTTTATTACATATCACAATTACGTTCAACGGTTTAAAATTCACTCTATCTAAATCAATCCTACTCAACTTTTAAACAAACACGGTTCACCCAATTGACCCAATATGTTGTCTAGATCAAAATCAGCATTTATTAATTATCAACTAGAAATTATCAACTAGAAAGCTTTTATTAAACATCAAGTTCGGTTGAATAAAAATCACAGAAATAGTGCATTATTATACTTTTCAGTAAAAGTTTTTACTTTAAATTCCTAACCAATGCCCAGTGCACCGGTTAACCAATAGAGAATTAATAAAGAAACTTGAGGTAGGAAAATTAGAGAGCCAATATCAACTATTTGATTAACCATTAATTTAAACCCGTGCAACTTTACCCATAATAAGAATCTATTTTTAGTATGCTTTTATTGAAAATTAGATGCTACAAAATATTATAATTTTCAATAAAAAATTAATATTTATTATTTTTACATCATGTACTGCGTTGCACAGGTTAAAAACCATTCGATTAGAAGTGAATAAAGAACATAAAAAGACACAAACTTTAGCTACAGCGAAGACATATAAGAACCGGTAATAACCGCTTGCAACATCTGACCATATTTGGATTCATAACTCCAGCCGAGACATAGTATTATGTGTCAAAGATGAGAGGCCAAAAACAGGTTTTGGAAGAGAAAACTTTGGCATAAGATTAAAAAAGAAAGAAAGAAAGAAACCTTCTTAAGGGCAAGTGCAAGGCGTTTACTGTCAACCTTGGTGCCAGGTGGCATAGAGTGAAGGTGGACACGTGCACAATGGAAAGCACGGTTCTGCAAAGGGAGAGGCATGTCACAAGCTCTGACATGAACGTTGAAGCTCTCATCATTTTGTTCAATGGCTTTCTTCTTCTCTATCAAACTGCTCAGAAACTTACTTCTCCTCTCTAACTCCTTCTCTGCTTCTTCCATGTGCTGTGTCACCCTCTCATCACTCACAAACACCACTGTGCTTTAAGCAATGCCAATGGTCTTCTGCAAATGGGTTTGGAAAGAGGAGAGAGAGAGAAAGAACGACAGAAGAAAATGGAATGAGTAGACTTGGGAAAGAAAGTACCAAAGGCCTATTTACTCGTGCACTATAGTATTTAGACTCTGACTTCAATTGTTTCAAAACACCTCCGAATTAATTTTCCCACTTTTTATAAATAAACAACTAAATTTTTTATTTTAATAAATTTATTTAAAAATAATAATATATTTAAAAGTGTGTCAAAAATATGTTAGTAGCATTCGTCTTATTTTTAAATATGTCTAATTTAATGTTTTTTCACCTTTTATAAATAGATTTAATATATATTTTAACTACTTTTAAATAGAATTTATTTTAAATTATTATTTATTAATTTTTTTAATTTTAATATTTAATTAATTTTTTTAACCTATGGTGACGTAATTCAGAGTTTATCACACAACTCTCAATCTTTTTTTAAAAAAATTAAAAATAAAATTCAAGCACACAGTATTTTAATATTTCTAAAGTTGATATAAATTAAAAATATGTGTAAAACTAATTATAATTAAAATGATATAAATGTGAAAATTAAATGAATAATCTGAGCTTAATATATTGAATTTATAAATTATAATTATTTGGATAATTTAGAAAAATATGATATAATACATGTATAAATGTATGCATAAACATACTTGGTTTAGAAAGAGGTTTCAACGGCCAAATATTAACACAAAGAAGAAAAGTTGGCTGGTGCATCTTACTCACGAGGGTTCATTTTAATTAACGTTCTCTTTTTGCCAATTGAAAATTTGATTGAAGTTGTTTTTATTATAAAATATCAAACTCGTAAAATGTGATATATTGTGAAAGAAGAATAAACACTGACATAAAAAGGTAAAAATTGAAACAAGTCATTAAAATTGAAAGTGGCTTTTGTTTATTTTTGGTTAAATATTTCGTTCTAAATGGTCCTACATGTGGAAATGTGGTGTTATATCTACACTCGCAAACTTAGCGCTGCAAATTTTGAAGATGTGAAGTAAAGGCCACGCGGGACTCAATGACACAAATTTGTAAAGTAGTGCAAAAAATCATTATTATTATTTGCACGCTTTATTTTCTCTTTTAACGAATGATTCCACTTTGCATTTTTGGAAATGTTTATTGTTCCTCAAAAACCAATTTTTATTTAATATTTTTAGTTAATCAATAAAAAAAAAAGTAAATATAGACATTTTATGGTGACAATAGTCACAATTTTGCATTAACAATATCGATAAATTGCAGCTTAAAGCATGTCTACCACACTTAGAATTGGTCCAAATTTGGCACTCTAAACTTGGTCTTTGCAACCTATCTGTAATTGTATAAGTTCAATGTATGAAATTGATATCTAGGAAAAACTTTGATAATCTGGTCTCGAGTCGTTGTTTCCGAGTCACGACAAAATTAAAATAATAAAATAATTGAGAGTATAGTGTTTAATATGAAATTTTATTTTTTTATTAAATATTTTTATTCTTAAAAACTGAACAAGGGTTCTAAAAGTATGTTAGTATTTTTTTTTAATACATTCCTGACATATATGTTTATCAATTATAAATAAAGTATTTTATTCTTGAAATATTTAAAAGATAAAATTAATATTTCTATACTTCAATTTTATTTTAGTCTTTTAATTTTATTTTAATTCATTTTTATCCCTTAACCTTTAAAAACATTCCAAACAAAGTCTTTTTCTAGTTAAAAACGTTACTTTCATTAATATTTTTTATATTTTTCTGTAATGTGTACTGTTTTATATTGTTCATTGTTTTCTTTTTCATGTTTGTTTACTATTCATTATTTTTTTCTTAAATTTCTAATTTCACTTTCTTCTTCGTATACATGCAATGTCCTATTTTTCTTCTCCTATATTTACTTATGCATCAATAACAAAGACATAAACTACATCTACTTAATACAGCAAGCACATGTTTCTTGCTTGATATTGCATTGTGTAGCTAAATTCTTTTTCGAAAAAGGATATCTTTAGTGCAATTAGCTGGATCACTCCTGCAAAAATCATGAATGCCTTTGAGTTCATTTTAATGTGTAGTAATTCATTCCTTAACCTTCCTTCTTCTTTGCAAATCTTGGACTTAATGCTACCACCTTTGTTGTCTGAGTTAATTTTTTTCCTGCTAGATTCTAATCCCTATGCCATGGAATTTCATTAGCAGCAGGGAAGCTTGGGGCTATAGTTGATTCATTTGGGTTCTTGTGTTGGCACAAAATAAGGACAAGAACAAAGCAAATACAAGATATCCTACAAGCATTGGCATGAAAAATGCACTAATTGTGTTGAGTGTGGTTAACGTTTTAGACTTTTTCTTTACTTTCTTGGTTCCTGACACAAAAGAAAATGATGAGAAAATTAGACTCAAGAAAGAATCAAAGAAATCATAATATGAAAACAATATTGCATGGACTTGAGGAAGAAAGCGAAATAGGATATTTAAGGGGGGGAAACAATGAACAATGCACATACTAGAGGGAAAAACAATAATAGTGCAAAATAGTCAGATGATAGAAAAAAACAATAAATATTGACAAAGTTAATGTTTTTAAACTTATTTAGAATACTTTTAAAAGTTAGAGGATCAAAATGAAATAAAATAAAGTTGGAGGACAAAATCAAATTTGACTTTTTACTTAGATAATGAAAACACTAATTTTGTTTATTTAAAAATATTAAAGACATTTCAGTAGTTTCAAAATTTATTGTATTTTCATTCAATCAAGTTCAAATTTGAAAAAGACAAATTTTTAAAATATAAAAAATCATTAATCAAGTTAATTTTATCATACAAATCATTTTCAAAGATCTAGCAAACTCCAATGAAACATAATTTTGAAAGGTTTTCAATAGCAAGTAGGGCCTTATAGGTAACAGGACTAGACTTGTTCATTATCTAAAAGATGATAAATAAACAGGGATTGAAAGTTGCAACTTAATGAGAGAATAACTTAACAATTAATTCCTTTTACTTGTATATCATTATCATGCCAATAATTGCTCAACACATTCTAGTTTTTAAGGCTTAACCTCAAACTTGTACAAAATTATTTTTCTAACAAAAAAATAAATTCATAGTATAGAATTTCATTTCTATCCATAACTTTATTTCCTTACTAGATTAATTGGTTTTGCATTTTTAAAGCTCTATACATATGGAAACAATTTACTCTAACAACCTTTTGCTCTTCCACTTCTTTTATCTTTGTTCCTCTTCTAAGCTTCTTAGGGTTTAAGGAGTCAAACCTTTAGAAATCCTTAGATCCTCAAGAATTTTCTTTGGTAGATTAGATTATTTAAAGAATTTGTATTACAGATGTATACCTATAGATTATCTCATTTTTCTTAAGTGATTAGAAAGTTTCTAGGACATCACAAAATCAATTTCTAATATCATGTTTATAAAGAAGGCAAAGGAATATATATATATATATATATATATATATATATATATACACACACTTATGTGTGTATATAAAAAACATACATGATTAATTGACTAAATTGAAACTTAATTATCTACTTAATTAGCAGTTACACATTGTAAAACTTTACTTCAAGATGGGGAATGAATATTTGTAACTCTCATCTTGGATAACAGGAATATAAAAGATGTGAATGGAAGAGGTTTTGTTAAAATGATTGCTAATAGATGAATCTTTATGTATTTTCTTCTTTCATAGAAGGTAGGATTTGATGCAATTATATGGTCAATTGATTGCTTTAAAATAAGAAGGTTGCTTCCATTAATATTTTCAAGTCCTTCAACAAATATGTATGCCAAGTAACCTTACTTATAGCACTAGCTAAGGCTATATTTTCACACAATCTTGAAATAATTTTTTTTTTAATTATTTTCATAAGATTAAGGAATTACTTAAGAAAAATAATATCCACTTGTTGACTTTGAGTGTTTGGGCAATTTTCCCTATTCACATCTACATAAGCTTTAATGAAAAAAAAAATCAAAAACAAATTTTCTTGACTTGAAGTAGCCTTTAAATGCCACAAAACATTATGTATAACATTCTAAATGTGATGTTTTAAGGGTTGACATAAATTGACTTAATCTATTTAGTAAAAAACCAAATATCAAGTCTTAATATTGTAAGATAAATTCATCTCCATGTGATTATTTGATTCTTATTAGCATTGTTAAGTAGGATTTGAATTCATGTTTTAAAAGAATATTATGAAAGTTGTCATAGTTAATAATGTAACACCCTCATTTTGTAATTTATTATTATTGCAATTAATGTTAGTTATTTGTGCATGTTATATGAAATTAGAAGTATTTAATTTATGTGAACTGTAAGATATCTCGCTGTAGCGAGAATAAGGCAGTAAAAATGGAACATTCTGGAGCCCTCTCGCTGTAGCTAAAATCTCTCACTGTAGCGAGGATTCCCTCGCTGTAGTAAGAAGCTCTCGTTGTAGCTAGAATGACAGACAACAAAGGAAGAAAAGTTCTGATTTTTCACTGTAGCGAGAAAGCCGCGAGTTTGAGATATATTTAAAGAACTCTCGTCCTAAAATCTTCGTTTTCAACCAAATCACATATCCTTCTCTATCCTCTTCGTTCTCTCTCTCCCTTCTCAGAGAAAATCTCCATTAACTCTAGATCTCCTTCAGATTTGAGCTCAAACATCCATTCTTCTCAAATCTAAAGAAGTTTCTAGAACTCATCCCTTGAATCTCCTTCCTATTTCTCTTTTCTCTTTTTCATAATAGAAATATACCTTGTGATATTAAGAATAACTCTTGTCCTTGAGTAGTATGTTAGATCGAGACGTGGAGTTTCTCTTTAAAACACAAGAAGAACATAGTTTTTTAGATCTATTTCCAAGTAAAAGGAGTATTTTCTAAGCTATACTTTTATTTTTATATGTAGTGACCCATGAGAGCTAAAGTAACTTATTTAGTAATAATCTATAAATTTTTTATGAAACTATATGGTAAAGGTGAATTTTTAGTATAAAGAAAGGTTATGAGTTTATTTGAAATTACTAGAATCAAATTCTTATCAAAAGTCATGAGCTAGAACAACACTAAGAAATTTTATAATTATGTTACTTGAGATGCATAGGAGTTAAGTAATAAACAATAGAAAATATTGAACTCTAGGTTAGAAGATTATATTGAGAATGAGAAAATATGACCTCTGATGAATTATTATGAAATTGCACGAGTTGACTGAGTCTGAAAGTGTCCGACCTTTGGCATATTGTTTGGTTGTATGCTGTGAGATTTGTGGTAGATTGATATACTGATATATTGTATGGTATGATGTGAGTGACAACTTTCTATATTAGACTGGCGTGATGCAATAAGTATAGATATGAATTGATAGCTGGAATGTATTCAGATTAACTAAATTTACATGAATAATTGAAGTGTTGATTAATTTCGAAAGTATGTGATATATGAAAAAGAAAAGGGAATATGTCTGAGAAAGAATGAGATGCATGATTATGATGCGTGGGTCAAAGTTAACTTAAAAAAGGTGATTATGATATATATATATATATATATATATATATATTATAGCACACTGAAGGGTGTATTATAATATATATTGTGATCCATGATATTATATCAATTGTAACTCACGTATTATAACATGCTGATTGATATAAAGTATATGGAAATGAGAAATAGAAACAGAATAAGTATAGATAGTCACAGAAATACACTGGGAGTGTGAAAGACGGGAGCGATTGAGAAATCTGAGGGAAATAAGGGTGGTGAATGTCTTCCCATGATTGCGCAAGAATTAATGAAAATAGAGAGAAAAGACACCGCAGGCCTCACACTCATTTTCTGACCTAAACCCCTGACTACACCTTTGCTAAAAGGGGCCAAACTGGCACACGTGTGTATTCGTGTTGCTGTTGCTAACCAGCAGCTATCTATGCTATGAAGTCCTCAAGAGATCTCAGGGGCAATGAATATGAAAGGGTAATGAATGTGAAAGTGTGACGAATATGATATAGAATAGAAATTGTATGATTATAATATATATATATATATATATATATATATATATTTATATATCATAGCAGATCGATTTATGATGTTATGATATGTGTATTGTAGTACATCGACGAGTGTGACTGGGACACATGTATTGTGACATATTAATTGAAATGATATATATATATATATATATGTAAAATTGACTACACCTACTCATTACTGAGTGTATTCAATTTTAAAACGTAACTTCATCTACTTATTACTCTATACATTAAATTCAGAAAGTATAGAGTCATTCGCATTGACTCCACTTACTTGTTACTCTGTACATTAAAATTCAAAATGTATAACTTATGAATTAAAATTATATTTTATTCACACTTATTATGTTTGAATTGTATTTAAATAATATTTATTAGTATTGATGGTTATATTATGTTACAAATGGTAACATAAATGTTTATACTATAAATTAACTTAAACTACTGTTATTAAAATTAATTATAATATTTTTCATAATTAACGAATTAAAATTACTATTGTATTTTAATATAATCTATATTTTATTATATACTTCAAACACTAAAATATATTTTAAATTAAAAAAATAAACTTACAAAATTATTAGTTTATAATATATGTTGTTAAATTAAATCTATAATAAAAGACAAAATAATTATTAAGTAATGTCACAAGAATTTTTTTTTATAATTAATATAAAAAAATACACTTATAAGATTATTACTTTTATTATAGATTGTAAAATTATATTTTTAATAAAAAATTTGGTAAAAATTACTTTTATGAAATGTAGTTTGAATTAAAAAAATACATTTATAAAAAATTACTTTTATTATAGATTGTTAAATCAAATTTCTAATTATATCTAATAAGAATGACTATAAATTGCTTTAAATTATCATCTATTAAAAATTATTATAATCTTTTTATAATTTACGACTTAAAATGATATCTGATTTGTAAGTTTGAAATAATTTATAATTTCATATATACTTCAATCACTAAAATTTCAATTATCCTATACATTAAAATTAGAAATAATTCAATAAATCATATTGACTGCACTTACTTATTACCTTATGCATTAAAAGTTGAAACGTATAACTTACGTATTTAAATTAGATATACGTATTTAAATTAGATTTTATTCATACTTATTATCTTTTAATTATATTTAAAGAATGTTTATTAGAATCCATAATTATATTATATTAGAATATATTTTTATTGTAATGGAAAATACTCAATTAGTTCAATATTATAAACGAATGCTTAAAAAAAATAATTATTGAGTAATGTCACAATAATTATTTTTTATAATTAATATCAAAAATACAAAATTACACTTATAAGATTATAACTTTTATTATAGATTGTTAAATTACATTTTTAATAACAAATTATTTATGAAAAAATTACTTTTGTGAAATGTAGTTTGAATTAAAAAAAACACATTTATATAAAATTACTTTTATTACATATTGTTAGATCAAATTTCTAATGAAAAGATAAGTTTACATAGTTAAATTATCTATTTAATTAGTTTAATATAATACGTAGTTCAATATATATTTCAAAAACTAAAATTTACTTTAAAGTAAAAAAATTGTTAACTTAAATTTCTAACAAAAAAAAAATATATAATAAAATGTAATTTATTAGAAATTTTATTATATATAATATTTTATTCTTAACTATTATATAGATGAAAAGACAAATTTTATTATATTATTTATTTATTTTATGACTTTTCATATATCTCTAAGTAAGACTCCATCTTTACTTATATAAGTCATGTTTAGTTGTTCACACAACTTTTGAAAACTTGCTCACCATCCTTTCTATTGTCATCTTTTTTTTTTTTGTATTTTGCAATCATGTCAACGGTTAAGAATTATCTATCCACGTAAGTAAAGGTGTTTTCAAGTTTGATATTTTCTTCCTATTGTTATATTTTTTCTTTGTATTTTGCAATCATATCAGCGGTCAAGAATACCTATCAACGTAAGTACATGTGTTTTTGAGTTTGATATTTACTTTGATGTTTTCCATGTTTTTGTAGGAGAACAACAAGTTCCAATAAAGATAAATGGACTTTTCTTAACAATTTGAATTCAACAACAAATGATTGAAAAATAAAAGTGTGAATATCACGACTGTGGGATACAATAAACATATATCGCAAGAAAGTTAATTAGTACTGATATAGTACTGATTGATGAAAAGGTATTAGATTTATTTTTTCTTATAAAAGAATTATTATTTTTTATAAATTATAATTATGTTGTCTTTTATATGTTGTTCTATAATAACTAACTAAATTTATTTCTAAATTTTCTAACTGATTAATTTTTTTTATAGAACAATTACATACATGCTTCCATAGGATAAGGTATTTCTTATAGGTTCAAAGGTATACTAAAGGAAGGAAAAGTATACCCCATAACAAATTTTACAGTGACAAAGAAAAAAGATAGATTTGTTATGGTTGAAAATAATCCTTTCGTGTTGCAATTCTATGCCATACCTCTTATTAAGGAAGTAAATGATGATAACATAATTCCTTTCTATATCTTTGAGTTTGTGAACTTTGAATATCTGAACAGTCGTTGTAGAAATAATGTCTTAACAGGTATTTTGCTGTAAAACTTTACTAAAATTTGTTATATAATTTGTATTTAATTTATCAATTAGTTCATTAAAATTATTTATTTTATTAATAGATGTGATTGGAGTGGTCATGTATAGAAGTTCTGTTGAAGAAAAACCAATTGTTCAAGGCAAGGTTAATGGCATGACGTTTCAATTACAAGACATGAGGTATAAACAATTATTCTAAATTTATTATTAATTGAAAAATCTTATAATTTTGGTTAAATCATTTGCAGGGAAAATAGAGTGAAAGTCACACTGTAGGATGATTATATTGCACTATTTGAAGAGATAATAAAAGATAACACATCTAAGGATTTAAAAATCAATGTTGCAATATTCACATCCACTATTGTGAAAAAATTTCAAGGTAGTTGTAGTATTATATTTTTAAAATGTTTTATTGAAATAAATTATATATATATGCTTTATATTTAATTATAAAAAAATATGAGTGTATGTATTATAGGTAATATTTCTATTTTCACATCAAGATCAACAAAGATCTATGTCAATATTGACATACCAGAAGTTACTCATTTTATAAATTCATTCAGGTATTAAAATTATCTAAAATTTCTATGTTATGTTAATTATTGTTAATTCTTTATTTTTTATCTTTACTATATTTTTATTTATTCATTATCACTTTGTTGTAGGGATTTTAATGATGTGTATATTGCTGACAATGTTAATAATACAAGATCTACCATTCTTCCTAAGTTAGAAAATTTCAAAAATATATCTGAAATTTTGATAATGGCAAAATCAAAGAGTAATATGGTAAATTTAATTTCTCTTATACTTTGTTTTTCTTAATAAACTTTTAAACTAATTTTTTAATCAATTTTCAAAATGTCGTAATTGGTTGTATTGCAACTGTGAACGATATATTGCATAAAAATAGTTGCTATTATATTTCTTGCCCTCATTGCAAGAAGAAAGTTTCTTTCACAACTACAAATTTTAAATGTGAATCATGTTATAAAGACGTTGATTATCCAATAACAAGGTAATTAATTTATCACTATATATTCAAATTTTTAAATTTTCATGTTAAAATAAATTAATTATATATTATTACCTTGATTTATATAAATTACAAGTTTCGTCTAGAGCTTGATGTTAAAGATTTTACGGATTCAACTATATTTGTTTTATTTAATGAAGTTGTTGAACAATTAACACAAGTAAAGTTAAAAGATCTTATTGGAACATCTGAAATTGTAAGCAAAAGTGTTAAGTTCTAACTTATTAAAAAATTTAATCAAATATTTGATTATATAAATAAAATATATTAACACATATAACTATTTTTATGTAATAATTTTTTTAAGGCTGATGGTGAAGGGTTAAAGTTGCCTTCATAACTTTTAAAGATTATAGGCATTTCACATATTTTTCAAATAAAAATGAGTACTTACTTTGAAAGTCGTGGAAGACAATGTTTCACAGCAAATAAAATTGTGAAATTGATAGTAAAGGTAATATAGAAGATTAAATTGGAGTTTCATTACTTTTATCTATAATGTTTATAGATACAATGATGAATAACTTTATTTTTATTGTCTAATATTTACAGATTGAGAAGGAAGAAGGTTTGGACAATACAAATGCAATAACAAAAGAAAATGACTTGGCAATAAGTTGTTCAGATATATCTCCAACTGTGGAAACACCAAATTTACCAAAAAGAAGGAGAAAATTAATGTATAAATTATAAATTTATAATGTATTGTTCAAATTCTTAGATCATACAGTAATTTATATTTGATATTTTTTTTTAGGTTGCAACTTGAGGAAGACGAAGCAAAAATTGGTGAACATAAGGCAACAATGGAAGATTTAGAAAATTGAATAATTTTTATTGAAATATTGTATAAATACTTTTAATATTGTTTAGAATCTCAAAAGTAAAATGTCACCAAACATTTACGTCTTTTTATAAAATATTTTTGTTATTTTATTGCATCTCTTCCTCTTACTTTATTATGGATTGATTTTTGTTCTTAGACAAATCTTGTATGTGACTTATATAAATTTTATATTATATCAACATCTGTAATTTTAATTGATATAAAAATTAATTTTGTTATTAAATACAATCATTCTTTTTTTTTAGTTATTACCTAAATCTTAATTGAAACTTTTTTAACAACTCTTTTTTTCTCTTCTTCTATTATTTTATTTTTTTAAAACAAATAATTTAATAATAATTGATATATCATAATTATGTATAACCTATTAACATAGACAATATTTTATTTATATTTTATATTATAATAATTATGATGACAAATTTAATTTTTTTAAATTAAAAATTAACAACATTTATCCTTAATGATTTTGTTGCAATGTTTCTTTTTATAAAATGTTATAATGAGAATGACAAATTCAAAATTCTTCAATTAAAACTAATTAATTATAACAATTAAACTAAAATAAATATTATTAAAAATCATAACAATGAAAATGAATTTGATTTGATTTTTAAATTTTTAGGTAACCGTTTCATTTCTATATTTAAAACTTTTATATCATAATGAATGAATAAGTAAAGAAAATATAATGTTTTAACTCTGAATTAAGTTCTAATATTATATTTAATTTATATATATATATATATATATCATTTTTTTCAAACTTAAAGAATATTTTTCTTTATATACTTTTAAAATTTTGAATATGAAGTCTAAATTTTCACAACTATTGAAAGACTTTCAATCTGAAAAAGATAGAAGTTAGTGTTTAAAATGTTATAGAAGTATTTTTTATATTAACATTTGAAATTAAAATTAATTTTTTTATTAAATACAATCATTCTTTTCTTTTAGTTATTACCTAAATCTTAATTAAAAAAATTTTAACAACTCTTTTTTTCTCTTCTTCTATTATTTTATTTTTTAAAAAAAATCATTTAATAAGAATTGATATATCATAATTATGTATAACCTATTAACATAGACAATATTTTATTTATATTTTATATTATAATAATTATGATGACAAATTTAATTTTTTAAAATTAAAAAATAACAACATTTATCCTTAATGATTTTGTTGCAATGTTTCTTTTTATAAAATGTTATAATGAGAATGACAAATTCAAAATTCTTCAATTAAAACTAATTAATTATAACAATTAAACTAAAATAAATATTATTAAAAATCATAACAATGAAAATGAATTTGATTTGATTTTTAAATTTTTAGGTAACCGTTTCATTTCTATATTTAAAACTTTTATATCATAATGAATGAATAAGTAAAGAAAATATAATGTTTTAACTCTGAATTAAGTTCTAATATTATATTTAATTTATATATATATATATATATATCATTTTTTTCAAACTTAAAGAATATTTTTCTTTATATACTTTTAAAATTTTGAATATGAAGTCTAAATTTTCACAACTATTGAAAGACTTTCAATCTGAAAAAGATAGAAGTTAGTGTTTAAAATGTTATAGAAGTATTTTTTATATTAACATTTGAAATTAAAATTAATTTTTTTATTAAATACAATCATTCTTTTCTTTTAGTTATTACCTAAATCTTAATTAAAAAAATTTTAACAACTCTTTTTTTCTCTTCTTCTATTATTTTATTTTTTAAAAAAAATCATTTAATAAGAATTGATATATCATAATTATGTATAACCTATTAACATAGACAATATTTTATTTATATTTTATATTATAATAATTATGATGACAAATTTAATTTTTTAAAATTAAAAAATAACAACATTTATCATTAATGATTTTGTTGCAATGTTTTTTGTTATAAAATGTTATGATGAGAATGACAAATTTGAAATTCTCTAATTAAAACTAATTAATTATAACAATTAAAATAAATAAAACATTATTAAAATTCATAACAATGAAAATGAATTTGATTTGATTTTGAAATCTTTAGGTAACCGTTCCATTTGTATATTTAAAACTTTTATATTATAATGAATGAATAAGTAAAGAAAATGTAACGTTTTAACTCTGAATTAAGTTCAAATATTATATTTAATTTCTATATATAATAAAATATAATAATGAAACTTTATTTAGAATTAGTGGTCAAAATTATCATAGGATTGGAGCACTCATACCAGAAGAAGGTCAACAACCAAAATTCTCATAACTTTATGTACATGATACAGAAAATGAAGTCCAAAATAGATTACATTCCTTCAATAATGGAGAATATCTTGACAACACTATTATTCAAAGTTTGAAGGATATGTTGGACATGCATAATCCTATTGCATAGGTGTTTAGAATGGCAAGAGATAAATTATCTTCATCTGATGATAAAAATGTACGAATCAAGTTGCTTGGTATAAGATCAAGAGAATCTCGACAGTATAACAAGCCGACCTCAGCTGAAATTGTTGCACTTATTGTTGGAGATTTTGGCCAATCTTATGGAAGGAGAGATATAATAATAGAGTATCAAACAAATGGGTTACAAAGAATATCAAAGTTGCATCCTTCTTTCATGTCAATGCAATATCCATTATTATTTCCATATGGTGAGGATGGATTTCACTTAGGCATTCGATATTCTTTTAATGATGGAAAAAATAGAACAAAAAGAAACAATTTGACAATGAGAGAATACTATGCATATTGAATACAACAGAGAAACTTTGAAGCAAAGACTCTTATTTCCGATGGTCGGTTATTCCAACAATATATTGTTGATGCATATACAACCATAGAAGAAGATTGACTACGATGGATTAGGCAAAATCAAACAATTTTACGCACAGAGTTGTACAAAAATGTTTGTGATGCAATTGTTCGTGGGGATACAATAGTTGCTGCTATTGGAAAAAGAATTGTATTGCCTTCTTCATTCACAGGTGGTCCACGATATATGGTCCAAAAATATCAAGATGCAATGGCCATATGTAGAACATCTGGGAATCCTGATATTTTTATCACTTTTACTGCCAATCCAAAGTGGCCCGAGATTCAGTATATGTTTGATCAAATTTCAGGACAACCAGCTAATGATAGGCCAGATGTTAAAACAAGAGTTTTCAAGATAAAACGTGATCAACTAATGAAACATGTAGTGGATGGACAGTACTTTGGTCAAGTTATATCAGGTAAAGAAAAGTATTATACTAATTTTTTAATTTATAAATTTAATCTTATTCTTACTAATTATTTATTATATTTTTTTCCTTCTTTTAGCTATATACACCATTGAGTTCCAAAAAAGATGTCTACCACATGCTCATATTCTAATATGGCTTCACCAAAATAATAAGTATCCAACACCACAAGACATAGATAAAATAATATCAGCAGAATTACCATCTCAAGTGGATGATCCAGTTGGATTCAATGCTGTTTCACAATTCATGATACACGGACCATGCAGAACTATCAACAAAAATGCACCTTGCATGATTGATGGCCTTTGCAACAGAAATTATCCTAAAAAGTTTACTGATGAAACGACCATAGATATGGATGGTTTTCCTACTTATAGAAGACGGGATGATGACAGACATATCAAAAAAGAGATATCAACTTAGATAACAGGTTTGTTGTTCCATATAATTTAGATTTATTACTCACATTTCAGGCACATCTAAATATTGAATGGTGCAATAAGTCCAAGGCTATAAAATATCTCTTCAAATATCTCCACAAAGGTCCAGATAGAGCAACCATGATAATTGAAGAAAATATTTTTGTCCAAAATATAAACAATTCAATGCAGATCACACAAGTTGATGAAATCAAAACTTATTTAGACTGCAGGTATGTAATTTTATAAATAAATTAATTTAATTAACCATTTAATTAAAATCATTATATATTCTTCTTTTATGCTAATTTCTCTAATACCATAAATTTATATATTATTTTAGGTATTTATAATGAATTTATAATTATTAAGATTTTAAATTAATAGGGTTTAGGGTTTAAACGTATAATGACATACACGTATATAATTACTAGTGATACACGTATAATAACATACAAGTTAATATAGAAATGTACGTATAGTGAGTGAATTGTTGTATATGCTCTGATTAATGGTTGCCTTATTGCATGTGCTTGGATATGATAAGTTTTAATATGAGTTGTTCACTATTGGTAATGAATTTGAATAAGATATTAGGTAATAACTTTAGTTTTTTTAAGCTAATTTATAATAAAAGAGATTTAGTGGGACGGAAAATACTCACTCTCACTGATATTTTCAAGTAATGAAAGAAAGGAGATAGAGATAGTTGATCCGTTCTAAGGTCATACTCGTCAAGAATTGTGGGAAAGGAACTGCTTAGATATAATTAAAGTAAATGTAATAGATGTATAAATCTTTTGATGTATCTTATTTCATTGATAGACAAATTTTGAATTTGATAATTTGTTAAATTTTATTAATTGGTATTCCCATATTGTACTATTTCTGTAAAGTTGTACAAATTATTACTAATTTTCTTAATAATATTTTTAATAATATAAATTATTTAAAGAAAAGAAGGATGTTACAAATAACACACGTGTTTAAATGATTGAGAAAAGGGTCAAGGTGTAACACCCAAATTTTTCATAAATTCTTTGAATATTTCATTTCAAACCTATTTATACCATAGATTAAATATATGATTTTGAATTTAAAAAATTTTAAACAAATAGATATCAAAAGGAGAATTGAAACTTGACCACAATAAGGAATGAAACTGATACAAATTTTTGAAACTCCTAAAATCTTAAGAAAAATTTTTAAGACTTAAGACCTTAACTCAATTAATTAAATGAAAAACTCATTAAAATCAAAATGCTATTAGATTTTAATTATCCAAAGAAACCTTGATTAAAATTCAAGATAATTTTAGGCTAAGTCTATACATGCCCAAAATTGTGAAGGAAGGTTACTATAAAGAAATAACTTATTTAGAATGTAAGTACTAATCTAAATTTCCACTAAACTACCTTCTAAACCCAACAGAATTATTTTATAATTAAGCCTGAATTAAAAACAAAACTCTAAGAAAAATAGCCAATTAGAACTAGGATTTTCTAAGAGTTTTGGGAAAAATTGAAAGAACTAAATTGCTCTAATTCACACAATTTTTTAGCCATAAAGTAGCTAATGGCCTGAATTTATCTATTAGAAAATACCTAGAAACACCTTATTTCATGCCTAAAGAATTTTCAAAAGTAGCCTAGGTAGCTTCAAAGATTAAAAAAGAAGAAGTAGAAATCATAACAAAGTATGTTGTTTTAAACCATGAATTTGAGCAAGACCAATAGAAATTTAAAACCATGGTCCCCCATGATTAAATACTAACTAAAGTGGTTAGCTTTTCAACCTAGAGAAAATAACCATGATAACCAAAAAAGTTAAAAATAAACCAAGTTGCAAAATTAAGTGCAAAAACACAAAATCTATAGTCTAGCAAGAATTTTTTTCGGCAATCAAAATATGAGCGAACCTTGTATTTAGACTCACAAAATTAACTTTTCTAAGGAGAAACATCCAAAGGAATCCAATCATTCAAATTGTACCCTTGAACTCCTCACAAGAAACAAAAACAAAAACAACCTTCCTCTAAATACAAACCAAAATTCACAACCAAATTACCTATAAATAGGAGGAACTTGAGATTTTTTATGTAACTTAGCAAATTTGTCCTTTTCTAAGCAATTGAGCACAATTAGACATCTTAAGGCTTCCCTAAAAACTTTTGTTTTAAACCTTAAGACTCTACAACAATCATACAAACCAACAAACACAAACTGACCAAAAGATCTTACTAAAAAGCACTAAAAAATATAATCTTTGTTGGGACCCACATCCACCTTTAGGAAGTTTTTGTGGATACAAAGAGTAGTATATCAAGTTTCAAAGGAAATTCAAGGAGGAGGAAAGGAAACCAAAATAAACCACTCAAAAAATGAGCTAAAATCATGTAAGAGAATAAGGGTATTATACATTTGGTAAAGAATAATCATGCTAAATAATTACTTGTTATGTAAAAGGAGTCTTTTATCTCTTTTTACTTTGAATTATATGAAAAAAAATGTAGTTTATTGGCTTTGAATTTGTTTGAAAAGGAAATTTATTTTGGAAGATAGCCCAAAATTAGCATTTATATTACTTAAATAATGGATAAATTTTTTAATTTCATTTTTATAAATATTTAGAAGTAATAAAATCTCATATATTGTAATTTTCTCCTTAATCGTAATCGTTGTTTTGATGTTCTGCAGAAATTTGAAAGGTGAGTGAAACATCGTCTAAATTTTCTTTAATAATTATTTTAACTTTTTATGTTATTTACCAAAGTTATTATTTTCTTTCTTTTTTCTTTTTCTTTTACTCTATTTTTTATTTCTTTGCTAAAAAGTTTAGTGGTTATGTCATTTTGCTATCTATCGTTATCATATATCTTGAGTAACTATATTATTTAGGTCCTTAGAAAATAATACATAAATTATATGAATAATTATAAATGTTATTAACTAATAAAGCATGTTAATACCTCCTTACAACCTTGAATAAAATAAAGAAAAGCCTTAGAAAAACTCATGATAATAAATATTTCTCCTAAGGGAGAAGGTAAGTGATAGAAATTCTATCTTAAAAAGTTATATTATTTCTATATTGTCCAAAGATATTATATTATAAAAATAGTTGAATAATATTAGATATAAGCATGGATAAATAGTGTTAGTGTGACTATAAAGGATAGCGAAGTATTCAAATTCTAATAAAATATCAAAGTTTAACTAACTTGGGTCGCACACAATGAAAAATGTGCTAAATTATCCTAATAGGCATTAGCGCGTGCTAGCATTGGTTGGAGTGTGTATCACTAAGAGTGGCCACACATGAGGAATTATGCACTCTATGAAATCCCGAAAGAATCGATGCATTAGGTGCCACTGTTTGGACTTGAGCTAAAACTTCCAATGATTCAACCATGAAAAGAAAAAAAGGATAATTACTCCATGGAGAAAAACAAAAGATATGAATTAATTCATATTATATGTCTATAATTTCTTAATTATTTGGTTATGTTTATTCCTTATGAAATAGCTCTTGTATTAAGCATACTCTTGCACCAAACGAAAATTGAGAAAAGAATCTGCAAGTTGGAAGTTATGTGATTGGCACCTAAAAATGTCTTTATTGTTAGTTAGAATGGGAACAAGTCATAGTTGTCTGTGCCTATCATCAAAGTGGACCCTTCAAATGAGACACACAAACGACAATTGCGGAGAGAAAAAAGGAAAGTTCTGCCACACAAGAATCACCAATAATTAATTCAACCCGTGACGAATCAAACTACTCCTTCTGCTTCGTTTTATAACATTTTTCAGAATTTTTTTTATAGATATTCATTATCTTTTTATATTCATTTTTGCAAAAATATTTAAAAAGTTTAACTTCTCAACAATATGATATAAATTTTGAATTTAAATAAAAATAAATTTAACATGTTATAATTAAAATTTTGAAATTAATATATTCATTAATTTTAACACTTTTTTAATCTATATAATTTAGTTCAAAGATTTTATAACTGAAAAAAAATATCATATTCAAAAAAATAATAAATATTAATCAATGTCTTTAAAATACTAGTTAAAAAATAAAAATAATACTAACAGGAGTTAGTCCAAATAAGAAGTAATTTGGTATCATTTAAAGAAAGTCTTATATTCAAATTCTTATCTATGAAAAAAAATTTAGTAGTAAACTCACCTACCACATTTAGGTGTATGACCCGGATCAGATCTAAATTAAATTAAATAAGAAAAAAAATAGAAACATTTATTATAATTGTCATTAATATACCTCGTATTTTTTAGTACATCTTAATGTAAATTGTAATGATTTATTTTTATTTTTTAACTAGTGTTCTTATGACCCTACTTAAAAAACTCTTAAGCGATTTTATTAACATCAATTATTAAATTTTATTTTAAGCATCTAAATATTTATTATTTTATAAGTACAAAATTATAATAAATATTTTTTTTAAATAAAATCTTATTATAGATACTTATTTTTAATTTTAAGAATTGATATTAATATTTGTTTAAAAATAATATCATGACAAAAACATTTTGTTACTAAAAATATTTAAGATTTGTAATAGAACGAAAGTTTTTTTTAATCTTGTATTCATTAAAATTATAAAATATTTTGCATTATTTTTATTTTGTTATATCATAAGATACAAATAAATATAAAATAAAAATAATATTTTTTATACATATAAACATGATTTTTTCTCGTAAATGTTCACTTTTAGCTTTGTAATAAAGTGAAATGATTTATGTATCAAACTAGAGTGATGATTATTTTTCTCGTTCCCTTTTGTGATTCAAAAGGAGAGATGACTACATATTGAATAAATTGGAGATGACACCAAACAGAGTAGAATAAGATATTATTATGTTTTACTATTTAGATTACTAAAATTATAATGGAATAGAGTGATTTTTGCTAGTATATATAAATCTTGTCATTTTTTCTTTAGCTTTATTTTTATTTTTTTCGTCCTTTTTTAATTATTTTTACTCTTTACTTTCTTTCTTATTTTGCTTTTCAGTTTTTAGTCCTTATCTACTATATTATATATTTTAAAAAATTTGGCACTCAAAATAAAAAATAAAGAAAAACAAAAATAAATAAGGATTAAAAATAATAGAAAGTGACTAAAAACACAAAAAAAAAACTAAAAACAAAATCAGGGACCAAAATAATAAAGAAAAAAACTAAAATTTATTTAAACTTTAAGTCTTAACTCATTTCATTTTATTTTTTTATTTTTTTATACTCTTTAATTTGGTGACATGAGATGAAAATAAAATCATCCATATAATTAAAATTAGACTTAAATAAAAAAAATTCATATTTTTTAATCTAAATTTCAAAAGTTCAAACTTTATAAAGGTTATTCATTACACATTTCATATTTTTTAATCTAAATTTCAAAAAGTCAAACTTTATAAAGTTATTAATTACACGTTTCATTCATGTTATATCTCAATGAAATTGTATAAGTCAATTCCAATGTTATGTAAAAAAAATATCAAAATATGTTTAATAAATTACTAACAAAGAGATTAGATACAAATGGAAAATAATTTTTAAGAGATTAGATTAATAAAAAATTAAAAAGGAGAGACTAAAGAAAAAAATTATAAATTTTTAAGAAATTAAAACACTATTTAAACATTATAATTATTAATTTATAAAAATTTTATCAATTAATAAAAAAGTATTACAAAAACCCTCAACTTTAACTTTCAATACATTCAACTTAGTGGCTCCTCCTAACAATACTACACATTTTTATTTTTAATATATATAAAAAAATATTAGACTCAATGGCAATGCATCGATATGGATAAGATTATAGTTACAACTTAGAAGTGACTAAAAACTAGACATAACTCTATTATTTATTGGGTGAACCAGTATAAAAATTGTATGTTCTTTCGGTTCCTTCTCTTAATCTTCTTGCAAATAAAAAAGTTCAATTCAATATGAAATTTATTCATTGTCTTTAAATGATTTTTTTAATCACTGATATGAAAATATTTTTAAAACTAAATTCAATCTCCTTTCTTTTATTTTCTAATCTTAAACTTCAATTTGATATCCATTTAAAGTTAAAAATTTGAAATCATTATTTAACCAATTTGTGAGCTTCATCTACAATTTTTGAGTTAACCTAACCACTGATGCAAGCATCCAATATAAAACTTAATAGAAGGCTTTAATCTACTATAAAATATATAAATTTGTGGGATGTTCAAGATATTATGGCATAACATATTCATAGTCTTCGCATGTTTCAAGAGAGATTGTTCATTCTTTTATTAGAAGAAAGCAAACTCTCCCTCATCTTATTATTGTATTTAGAAGGAGGAAAATATGTTTTGAAAGTTTTAGACATTAATTTCTCCAAAGTGGTGATGCTACCTCTTGGTTGAGCTTGAAGTCTACCATCAGCATAGTCCCTTCACTCTATTAGGTTAGATTCAATTCCTTGATGCCTAACCTTTTTGTTTAATTTATGAATTTTAATCGCTTAGATGAACCCAAATCAAGCAAGCGTTAGGAAAAAAAAAATTTAAATAATTCTTAATTACTCAAGTCATGTTGCCAAGGTTTTAATAAGTAATTAACGTGATTCACTTTAAATCTAACTTGAGAACCAATTTTTCTACTGTGAAATTGGGAAAAACATTAAACATAGAAAAAAGTATGCAATTAATAGAAATTAACTTGAATTGAGGTAAAATAATTAGTTTACAAAAGATTTAGAATAAAATTCATCATGAAAATTTAATTACACGTAATAGAAAGAGAATAGAGTGAAAGATGATGAAATAATAAGAAAAAACTCCAATAAAATTAATAAATATTGAGCTTATTTTGCAAATTTCAATCCTTGTTCAACTCCCTATTTTTTTCAAAAAAAGAATTTAGAGAAAAAATTTAAAGCATGTTTGATTTGTTTTTAAAAATAATTTTCTGTTTTTAAAAATAAAATATGGTACGTGAGCCATAAATTCTTCAATCTTCAAGTAGCTTTCAAACGAACCTACAACAAAGAATAAAAACGAAATTGAAGACTACCACTGGTCCAGGAAGAAGTTGCCCAAAATTGAAAACATTCAAAACAACTAGACATAATTTTAAACTTCACATATTTATTATCAATATACACTTCTAATGCAACAAATTTACAGATATTACCTCCCAATCCTAAACAATTATAAGAAAACAAGAAACTTATCACTTTGTAATATGTTTTGAAACTTCTTGATTGCTTACTTCAATACCATGCATGGTGTCGAATACATGATTATTTTCTCTCGTCTCACACTTTTATATATTGTTCTTATTTAAATAGAAAATAAGTTTATTGTGAAGATGTTTTGGTAAAGGAATAAGTAATCCATGGGTTCCATGTGGTTGTTTTAGCTTTGATTTCTCTCCTACGGGACACTCCAAAAGACTTCGATCCGTTGTTTACAAAAGGATAAACAAGTTAAAGTGGCTCCGTAGTGTCTTGAGAAATATTACTTCATAAAGGTTAAATTTTTTTCTAATATTATGTACCTAGGGTGATAGAACAATAGTTTCCCTAGCAATATCCATTTTGAAATTCGTTTGTATCAGTGCTTCTTGCTGGCCCATCAATTTTCGTTCACTTACCACTTGCACATACACCACTACGCACTAACCCCATTGTTATCACTTCTAAATATGTTGATGGAGTTGCCATCCCTGAGTAGAAACAACTATATCCTTCTTTGTGTGGTCCATTAGTGTTGATGAACTAAGCATTAATTGAAAACTTCTACAGTGCTATGTTCCATTCCGGTTGTCGATTTGTAATTGTCCGACGAATTTCTTTAGCAGGGAAAAACTATTGTATTATATAATTAACGAAACTGGCTTTGGGATCAAAACCAACTCGTGAAAATTGAAGGGATGAATATCAGGTTACAAACATGAATGGAGTGTAGTTACAGTGCAACATCAATTTACGTGAACCCCACCAAGTATGGTTATTTTTATTTTTCGTGCTTTGTTTTGTGACAATTTTGTCGAAGGAAATAGCACCACTATAGTTTTGAAAGGATAAAGTGTTCGAGGATTTAGATTAAAGCAAATCGTACCAAGGACATTGCATTAACGCAGTTTAAGATTTCAACTCTTATTGACCCAAAATATATATATATATATATATATTTCATATAAATTTCCAAGACTTGCTACCCATGCAAGCTTAATAAGATATGATGAATGACAAAGTACATGGCATAAATGATTTAAATCTTTGGTCCAAATCAGCTACTGATTGACACTTAAGTCGGTGACTATGGAGAATGCATTTAGCCTGTGATAGCAAACCTTATCCTATTCCTCACATTGCAAACCACATCAGTCAGCAATGTCACTGTAGCTACAACTTAACACCTAGCATGGCATCAAAACAACCATCTCAAACCTAAATTCAGGGCTACATTGCTCAGAAGACATAACAATTTCTGAAGCATTCTAACAGCTTTAATCCCTATCAAGTGAGAGTTACCATGATACAAAATTTTGTCCAAGTCAACCACACAATTTAAGTTTAAGGTACGTCCTGATTATCACCTGTCATGACTCTTCTTCAGCTTCGGCAGAAGCTATTTCTGAATCCAATCTGTTTATTAACTGCTCACTTACATGCTTGGCCACAGATATCATATCAAGAATGATGCTTGGATCCAGTCCCGCACCTCCTCGTTTGGCTATACCACAGATGTGGCCTTGCCTATTAACAGAGATAGAAACAGCAGAGCTCATTTGTGATTCCTCTTCGGATGTGGCATCCACAATATAGTGCTTCCCAATCTAGAAAGCCGAGATTGTATGAAGTTATCACAAAATATAACAGAGAAGACAGAATAGCTCAATTATATGTTACCTTAGTCAGTGTAACTATTACGGGGATGCCAGATGTGTCAAACTGTAGAAACTCCTCGTCACTTACATCAACTTCTGGTTGCTCATCACTGGATGCACCAGTAGCAACTTGGACTCTTGGGATACCCGTATTGCTCAAGGCAGCCTAAAAGAGTAATAGTTATTAGCTGCATCGTGACTTTCCAGTTAATTCTTAATATAGCTTTGCATTCTCAACTCCTTATTAGAAAAGGAAATCCATGCAGAAAATCTCCACAAAACTGATTGCAAATTCGTTTGGGATATTTATAAAGATTAAAGAAAACAGCTAGTAAAAGGATTTTTTTCGATTCGTAGCTTAATGAAACAATTAGAGAAGACTAATAGTTTCAGGTAACATCTAACCATTTCCTAAAACAGCTAAACTAAAAATAGGGGAGTGGTGGTGGTTTTAGATCACATCTTTCAAACATCTCAAATATCATATTTGCAAAATCAATGGCTAAAATATGATTAACGAAAAAGAACTTGAAAAATAAACATTATTGACACATCACAAAAGGATGGCCCCCAAAATGCTAATGGTTTTAGCCAGGAATGCATCAATGTCATCTTTTCAGCATTTCTAGCATATTACCCTGTTTTTATTTCAAGTTTTACCTTGATGGCAGCACCTAGAGCATCCAACAAATTTCCATCTGAACTAACAACAAGCCCATCAATGTAAAGATCCCAACAAAGTTTTCCTTCAATGACAAGCAGCGAGGAGAGGTCAATTCCAGCACCTGAGAAAAGAATAAGGGCCAAGAGCTCAACAGTTATACCAAAAAGAGGGAACATGGGAGGGAAAACATGATAGTAAAGCATAGTCTTCACTCTAGGAGGAAGATAGACCTGCTCCACTTTTACCACCCAAGAGACAGCGTTGAAGAGAAAATGACAGATCTGCTGACAATTCTTCACCCCCTCTACCCTATATGCAAGCAAAGATTGAGCACCAAAAAAAAATTTATTTTGAAGCATTAAAAGGTATTTATGAAACAAAAATGATAAATAGCATTACAATAATAGAAAACACTATTATTGATGAAAGTCTAAAGCTGATTAATCCAATGCACCATTTTATATCATTTAAAGAGTTTAAATGTATTTTTTGGTTTTGCTATCAACGTTCATGGTACTCAAAGTTGAATTATATGAAGAAAAGGAAGAACCAGACATACAGATGACTTCACTATACAGGGAAAGAAGAAAAGCAAAATAATATGCAACCTCAAAAGCTGGCTCAGCAGTTGAACTGCAATCAATATTTATAGAGACTTTTCCTTTGTCAGGTTGCAATGAGCTTGGCTTTCCTAGTTCAGCCTGAATTTCCATTATATCATGGTGAGTAAAGGAACAGATTCGATTTTATAAAAAAATTGGATAGTATTAAACAAAAGGATATCACAAGGAACAAAATGAGAAATCAATCCCAACGTTTTAACAAACCTTAACACTGACAATGACATCTGTGGCACCCATTCTGACTCTTGCTGAGCCATTTGCCTGCCATGAAATTCATCAAATGCACATATTAAATTAAAGCAAGAAAATTCAGATGGTCCATCAGGGTCAAATCATCAGAATACACTGCCAAATGTCAACTCATTAAAGCACTACCTGGGGAATGACTCCAGTTTCAACATAGATTGGTCGATATGTCAATCTCTTTCTGCCATCACAACGAAGATCTTGAGCAATGCCACCGTGTATGAAATGTTTTTCTCCAAGTGATAAACCCACCATTCCTGCAAAAGCAAAAGTTTTGAGAAATTTAAGACTAAAAGTACAGAGTAGAAAGTCCATAGTTGTTAATAGCGCGCTATACTGGCGCTATTGCGCCACCGTGAGGCAGCACAGCCATCAGCCGCCACTGCAATTCTGTTGCAGAGCAGTTTTGTCGTCACAGGTTGCAGGTAAATAGCGGCGGCCTAGAGATGAAAGATTGCGTGTCTATCGCGATTTGGGGAAGGAAAAATGCTAACCCTAATAGATTGGTAAAACTGTGCATTTCTGTTTTTTATAACTCTGCGTTTTGCTTTTTTTAAGGGTAAAAATATCATTTGACCCTTTCTAAAACTTATTGTAACAGTAGGGTAGATGAAAGAGCGAGTTGAAATCAAGAAATGAGAGTTGCATTGTGTATATATCATGTGAGCGTTATGAATTTGTGATAAAGGAGGGGGAAAAGTGTCTTTCTTCCTTGAGTATTTTTCTACTCTATTTTCCTTCCTAATTGTTTCCCTTTTTCTATCTTGAACTGATCATTACCTATGTGCTGGTTCATGTTCATTAACAGTGTAAATATATTGTTACAATTTACATATATAGAAGTTATCTACTTTTCTATCAATTGCATTTCCTGATTTCTTGACTGATAAATTTATTGCTTGTGTTGTTGCCACTGTCATTGCAAGATCAAATGCAACATTTGTTTGAAAAACTTCTATCTGTATTGTCATTATAACTCATTTTATTGACTAAAAAAATTGAACGATTATAAATGCCTAGAATTCAAAAAGCAGTAGCAATGCACTACCTGATAGAACTGGATCAGAAGTGTAGAAAAAAAGGTTTCTATTAACTGAAAAGAATGCCAATGATTACCAGGGCTTACAGGAGGAGGTCTGGACTCTCCCACAACTTCAAATCACCAGCTGATATCTTCCTCTTAGCCCCTTTTATTATTTATAGGCCACATGCCATATTCAAAGTTTCAAACTAACTCACCTAACTAACTAACCCACTAGTATAACTAACTAATTGATAACTAAGTAATCTATTTAAAAAAACTATTAATGGGGTTACCTAACCCTCACCAATTCCTACAGCAACAATCTCAAACAAAAAGGTCTGGTACCTGAAGGAAGCTACTTCTCTGCACAACCTCAAAATCCTCTTTGATATACAAAAGGCCCCTCGATACAACACCTGCGAGTGCAGCAAATAAGAATTCCACATTAATTAAGCTAGCCAGTTTATTTACATTAAAAATACATTTATCATTACATTTGGATGAATCAAAGTATTAATTAATATATTTATATATTTTATAAACCAGCTTCATGATGATGACTTGAAGTACAAGAATAAGATGTAGTGTATCATAGCCATAGTATAAGAATATGACTTGAATAAATATCTGTTGTGTATGAACACAGCCACAGGATAAAAGAATTATGGAAACAGATGATGAGATATGTATAATATTTAATAAGAAGCGAAATAAGAATATGACTTGAATAAATATCTGTTGTGTATGAACACAGCCATAGGATAAAAGAACTATGGAAACAGATGATGAGATGTGTATAATATTTAATAAGAAGCAAAATCTAAAAGTATATTAAAAGAGTTTATATTTAATACTCAAACAGTATTCAAGTACGTACAGTGCTAGTCTTCCAAAAAATCCTTTAATTACGTATATAAATATGAAAGAATATATTTAATTCGAAAGTGTCATTTTGCATGAATCCCAATGAAATCATCAACATGGAAGGTGGCAGGCTTGGATAGGAAGGGTTACAGGCAACAAGGTTTGGTACATTTAGTAAGTTTGTAGACCCTCCCTCTCTGCTGCCTTTGTTTAAAGCTTTCCTTTTTCCTTTTTAATTTACTAGTGTATAATTGATCAGTGTATAATTTAATGGCTTTTACAAGATTACATGTCAAGTTTTCATGTGTATGTTCATAATTTTTTTAATATTCTATAGGCACACAAGAAGAAGCCGCTGAAGCATATGATATAGCAGCAATCAAGCTTAGAGGAATAAGTGATGTGACCAACTTGCGGTACTAGAAGTGTTAAAACCATTTCAAACTATCCCCCGGTATGTATTTCACTCAAATCAAGCCAAAATCAATTATTTTATCATCTATGCAAAATTCCTGTGCCTTAATTCTATTTTATTTTCCTTAGCCTTGGAACCAACATCAATCTAATAATTACATATTTTAGAAAAAAAAATAAAGAGGGGTTGAAGGCTGAGCAATTAAAATGTATTTCAGAGAAAGAAAATGACTTTAAAGGGGTTCAGATCCTAAGCATATTGGAGTATTTAATTTCACATTTTCACTACTTATATATCTTGACATGTAGGTCTTGATGGCACAAATTAAAGGCAAGAAAATCATCCATTTACATTGTAGTAAGGGGAAAAAACATAGTAGTCAATCTCGGAGAGCAGCGCAAAGCGGCCGACTCCAATCACTATAGCGGAATAAGGGATAGTGAGATGACCACTATTCTGAAATTTTAAAATACACCAAATATAGGTGATCCTATACTTATATATGCTGAAGATTTCAAATTTCAATTGTTTGGAGGGGTTCTAAGAAGTCAGAACAGATCAGAGAAGAAAAATAGAACAAAACAGAGTGGTTCTCACCAGAAAAAGCCCCCAATGCAGATGGTCTCGTTGGAAAATGTGTGGGTCTTGCTGGAAATGAACAAGATGAGTAGAACTTGGCTGGATATTGTGAACACAGTCAGATGTTGGTTTGAAAGTAGCCCCCTAACGCAAACGGGTCACATCAGAAATGAGTAGGTCTCGCCAGAGATGAAGATGAGACTAGACCTTGGCCGGAAAGGACGTCGATCACTGTGAAGCTTGCCGGACGAAGTTGCCGAAGATGGTGAATGGGAGAACTTAGGGTTCAAGAACCCGACATTGAGATGGTGAATGGGAGCACTTAGGGTTCAAGAATACCGAGTTTTGAATTATACAACGGCATGAAAAAATAGACAATGTAAAGGGACGCAAAATCCCAAAATTGACCTCCCCTTAAAAGCAAAATAAAGTCTCAAATGTGATGTCCCATACTTTACAATCAGATGTTGGTTTAATTCTTTTCTTAGCATTACCAGATACTGTAGAGTGCAATTCTTCATTTATTCTCCAAAATTTCCATATTATTATCACTAGAAGCAAGATTATCAGAGGCTTCCATGTCCATTTCAGAAGAATGAAAACTGAAAACAAAATTAAAATTTACTACAAATCAGACAACACAATCAGTGACAATAGGGGCTGGGGACGGCAATTACAGAAAAAGAAAAACACCCAGAACACAGACCAAATTTGAACTGTGTTCTCTGTTAGTACTCTTCTCCTTATCATTCTGTAAGCTTCTCTCTCTCCTTTCAAGCTTCATCTCCAAGGTTATTTAGAACTGTTATTGCTCCATTGCTATCTGATTCAATACCACAATTTTGTACAAGAGGTTGCTATTATTACAGTTTGAGCTTAAATTTCCAAATTTTCATGAATCAGTGCAAGATTGTGTGATTTTATCTTGTTAATGGAGCTTTACTCTTTGTTATAGGATATATGCTATCAGTTTTGATCTCACAAATTTCACTATTTATATATATTCATTTTAAAAGCACAAGTTTTTACCAAATAATTAGCTAAACATTGAGGTGATTACTGCAAAGTGTAGCAATTTCTTTTGAACACAATTCCATACAAAAAATTATAACCCATTTAAGTTAAGACACGATTATACTGTTGTCCATTCTGCTGTGAGTTTTCATAATTCTTCACATAGGTTCAATTTTTAATACTCTTTGTCGTGCCATATCAATTCATCCAAAATTATTTTGTTTCCCCTTCACTATTGCAATCATTAGTTTCCCGATAAAGTTGAGTTAATTTGGTTTTTATTTTTTAAAATTTTGTTATCTATCTTCTATTTTTGTTGAAGTTGTTAAGGGCCTTCAAATAGTATTTTTCCTTTTATTAAGTGAAAGTATTTTTAATTAATTAATTAATTTTATCTTTTTAATTATACTACATGATTTCTCTTATATTTGATATTTATTTATTTATTCAATTTTGATTTAAATTTTTCTGAATTTCAAAATTGTAATCTGTTTAACATAATCCCATTTTATAGTAAAATGTTAATTATTATAATAAAATTAGTTACTATTTTAGAATTTATAAAAATTTTGTTACATTTAAAAAGACATATTATATATTTTATTTTTTGTTTAAAAACTTATTTTAATTTAAGAAAAAATCGTTTTACAATTATTCATGACAAATATAAAGGTTTTAAAATAAAACACTAGCGCCCTCCATGTATTACAAACATTCATTTTTTAATGTATAATAATTTTTTTCTTTTAAATCTTTGGCCAGTCCAATTTAGAGCATGAACACTGAATAATAAAAAGTTATATATCATATCAAAATAATATTGCTACGTAGTACCACTAATTTAATAGTATTCTAAAATATACGTATTATTTTCTTATACACACCAAGTAAATTTTAACAATCCTAAAAATATTTTGTCCATGGGCTAGGTCATTTTGCTGCACGGTTTAAATTGTAAATTTGAGGGCCCATTTGTTTCATTTTAAGAAATAATAATTTTAAACATTAAAATATATTAATAGTATAAATTCCGTAATTCAATCTTATCAAATTAACGAGAATTATTGACTTTTATAATAACAATTTAATATCGTATATTCTAATCGGTTAATTTTATTAAAATTATTTTTTTTAAATTTTATATTTAGTTATAATTATAAAAAAAAACTTTTATTTTAAAAGGTGGATATAATTTTATCTTTTAAAATTATTCACAATAATTTTTAATCAAAGCTAAAAAAATGAAATAGATAAATTTAACTTACGTGATGAGAGAATATTAAAATAATTTAAAAAGATGATTTTATATTTAAAGTAAATAAAATAATTTCATCTAAACATTCCCTGAATATAACCAATTCATTTATTTAATGGACTGAATAATCGTTAAAATAAAATAAAAACAAAAATCATATTGTTTTAGTCAAAACATTATTACCAAAGAATATATTTCTAACTAACCACACAAGTGGCACCTAGCAAGTCATTAACACACATTCCTCTTTGACTTTTACTCTTTCGATTTCGGTATAAGTTTGTATTTTACCGGTGATAATGATTGTTTAAACATCAATATTTTATTAAAAATAAATTTAAAATATAAAAATTTAGGGTTTAGGGTTTAAAGTATAAATTTAAAATATAAAAATTACTTTAACTCCTTATAATACCAGTGATAATAGTTGTTGAAATATCTAACATCACATTTGCAACAGATTTTATATTTTAAAAATGATTAAAATTTTGAAAATTTCAATAATAAATTTATTTTGTTTATTTTAAATTTTTTGAAACAAATTTTATGATGTAAAATTTATTACACATAAAATGTAAATTATTTTTTTAAGGATTTATGATTAGGTAACTCTAAAAGTAAGTATGACTTCTGTAATAAATTAAATTCTGTAATTATTTATTGTAAATATAAATTTTTATTTACATATACCCTCTGTACAATGCAAAAATAATATACACTTTTTTATAGTATTAAATTTTTTTTATAACGTACACTCTTACATTTTTTATTTATTATGAAAATTTGGGTTTCATCCGTATTTGAAAAAAGAAATGTTTATGTGTGTCAACTTCCAAGTGATAGTAAGAGAAAATTTCATCTATTATAAATAATTTTTAATATTATTTTAATCATTTGTTCTTGACATAGACAAATTTTGCATATTTTTAATTGAAAACAAAATTCACAAAAGAAAAAAAAATTCTAAATAGATAAATTATTTTACTTATATTATCTTAATAATTATTATTCAATTAATATTACTTTGGTAAAGAAGTTCAATATCACATCAAAGGGCCCGTGTTTTCAAATGACTCAAAGTCTAATATCATTCATGAAACTCAATCAGAGAACCTTAAAAATAAATAATAAAAAAGACAAGGAAAAAGATGAAAACAAATAAAAAAATAAATCCAACTCATTAAATAACATAACATCCCTAGAAAGGGCTCTACAAACTTTGCTTTTGATATATGATTCTGATTTGCTGTCATAGGATCTAATATCTAATTGTGAACTTAAGCAAATCTATTTTAGAATTTTCTCAAGAATATTATGCTTGTAAGATAGATATACAGAAAATTATTTTATTTTTAAATCATAATCTTTTCTTTTATTTTCAATTTGTTTTAGTTTTAATATATTTTTATTGGATATTATCATGTAGTAAAACGTTACACAAAAAAAGATTGAAGTAGAGTTAAATAAATAGACATCATTATCTAATTTTGTTCAATGACATATGTGATGCTTTTAATCAATTAACTATTTTTCTTTATATTATAAATAATATTTAATAAAATTTAATTAAAATAACTAAAAATAAATAATTTAGAAAAATTTATATTTATACAAATATAAAAGTAAAAAAAATTAACAAAATTTTAAAATTTCACATGTATGTCTCATTCATATTAGAGATAAAAATTGATCTTTGTAATTTAAATTTTTTATTAAAGTAAAAATTAAGATTATATTAAAAAAATTTACTTACTTCATGATATATATATATATATATATATATATATATTTTTTTTTTTTTATTTATTTTATTTTATTTTTTTTTGCAAGTTTAAAATACAAACAAATTTCGTTGCATTAATTTAAATCTCTAATTAAAGCTTGATGTAAGAATGTTAAATTTAATTTAAATTTAAACTCATTTTTACCACCAATTATTTGTATTTCAAATATACAAGAAAAAGAGGAAAAAAAATTTGTATTGACCATGAAAGAATGTCAAATGTGCTTGAAAATAGAATGAGAAGATGATGGTGTATTATATATTGAATTGTATTGTGTACAATTACAAGCAATGGGAAAAACTAATAGAATTATAACTGATATATATTTTATCCTAACACCCCTCCTCAAACTTAGGTTTGGGTATTAAAAGATGTAACACCCTTTTTTCAGTTATTTATTAATTGATGAATTGTTTGATATTAGATAATATTGAGTGTAGGGAGTCTTGCTCAGGTGAGATAGGTCTCACTCAGACGAGATTGAGTGCCCAAGAGATGAGTCTCGCTCAAGCGAGAATAGGATAAACTCAACCTAACTGTCTCCTCGTCCAAGCGAGAGGCGATCTTGCTCATATGAGAAGAAATTTCGCCCAGGCGAAGACTCACAGGAAAAATGTCTAACTCTCTGGATGTTTTCTCGCTCAATCAAGAATAGCAGAAAAAGCTTGGGAGAACTACTGTCTAGTATTCTCGCCCAGGCAAGAAAGAACTAGCTCAGGTGAGAATAGTCTCGCTCAAGCGAGAGCACGTGAGATTTGAGGAATATTTAAAGGATTCCAACCCAGAAACTTGCATTACAATCTAAGAAACCTTTCCTAACTCTTTTTCTCTGAGCTCTCTCTTCCCTCCTCCTAAACAAAAGCCTCTAAACTCTGAACTTGCTTTGAATCCAAGCTTGAACCTCAACTCTACGGAATTAGTGAGTATCTCAGAGCTTGATTCTTCATTCTCATCTCTATTTTCTCTACTTTTTCTCTTTTCAAAAGATACTCTTCTTTATAATGTGTAGGAAGATCTCAATCTTTTGAACAACCTTTTCACTAACTTCTTCACGAAATTTGTCTATTTAAAGTAAGGAGAGCTCTATTTCATGATTGAAAACATGATGGATTTGTGCCATGAAAATGTTGTTGTGTGCTAATTGGTTATAAATATATGTTTGAATGAAATATGCCTTTACTTATCTTTGATGATTTGAATGAGATATGTTTTGAATATACATATACATGTGTACATGTTGTAAACTGAGTCTAGAGGTACTTGATCTCTTG